CAGAGGAACAATTCCCAATTAAAAGAACTAGAGAAGTCCTCTGAAAGAACAATGAGCTAGATCTTGACTGCCTCCTTGATCATGACTTCAAAAAGGGGGTGATAAAAGCATGAAGGAAATGAGAGAGACTATGAAAAGAGACAGAAAATACTATGAAACAGAAACAGAAACTAAAGAGGAGCCAATTAAAAACAGAAAACTCATTTGCTGAGTTAAGAGTCGAGCAGTCAAAAGCAGACTAGATAATGCAGAGGAACAAACAAGTGACTAAGAAGACACGATAACAGAAGTAACCCAATCAGAACAGTAAGCAGAAAAGCAAGTAAAAACCAATGAAATCAATATAAGGGACCTATGGGATAATATAAAGCATGCCAGCCTACACATAATAGGGGTCCCAGATGGGGAAGAAAGAGAAAAGGGGATTGAAAAGGTATTTGAAGAAATCATGACTGAAAACTTTCCAAACCGAAAGAAGGAAACAGATATCCAAGTACAGGAAGCACAGAGGGTCCCAAACAAGAAGAACCCAAACAGACCTACAACAAGACATATTACAATTAAGATGGCCAAAGTTAAAGATAAAGAAATGATTCCAAAAGCAGCAATAGAAGAACAAAGAGTTACAAGGTAACCCCCATAAACCTTTCAGCTTATTTCTCTACAGAAGCATTGCTGGTCAGAAGGCAGTGCAAGATATATTCAAAGTCCTGAATGAGAAAAAGCTGCAACCTAGGATACTCTATCTGGCAAGACTGTCCTTTAGAGTAGAAGGAGAAAGAAATGATGGAAATAAAGGAGAGAGAAAAGCTGGAGAGCATGTGGAGAAAAGGGAACCCTCCTACACTGTTGATTGGGAATGTAGCTTGGTGCAGTTGTTATGGAAAACAGTATGGAGAGTCCTCAAAAGATTAAGAATAGACTTACCATATGATCCAGCAATCCCACTCCTGGGCATATATCCAGAGGGAACCTTAATTTAAAAAGATACATGCACCCCAATGTTCATAGCAGCACTATTTACAATAGCCAAGACATGGAAACAACCTAAATGTCCATCGACACATGTCTGGATAAAGAAGCTGTGGTATATTTATACAATAGAATACCACTCAGCCATAAAAAATAATAAAATAATGCCATTTTCAACAACATGGATGAACTTGGGAGATTGTCGTTCTAAGTGAAATAAGCCAGAAGAAAGAAAAATACCATATGACATCACTTATATGTGGAATCTAAAGAAAAAAAGACAAACTTATTAACTAATGAGAAACAGACTCACAGACAGAAAACAAACTTAGGGTTACCAGAGGGGAAGGGAATGGGAAGGGATAAACTGGGAGTTTGAGATTTGCAGATACTACTATATATAAAATAGATAAACAACAAGTTCATACTGTATAGTACAAGGAACTGTATTCAATATCTTGTAGTAACTTATGGTGAAAAATTTGAAAAATATATGAAATAATAAGTAATATGTATGACTGAAGCATTATGCTGTACACCTGAAATTGACACAATATTGTAATCTGACTATACTTCAATAAAAATATATATATATACAGAAAAAAATAAAATAGAGTAAAACATTAAAAAAAAGGAAATTAGAGCACAGATAGGTGCAGAGGGATGACCATGTGAAGACATAGAAAGAAGATGACATCCAGAAGCCAAGGAAGCACACTTCAGATGAAGTCAAACTTGCTGATCCCTTGATCTCAGACTTCCAGCCTCCAGAACCCTGAGAAAATAAATTTCTGCTATTTAAGCTACCCCATCTATAGTGCTTTGTTATACAGCAGACCTAGCAAACTAATATACCAAGTACTTTCCCATGTCTTAACTCATTAAAATCTCATTTAATACTCAAAACAGTCATGTTTGGTAGTATTATCCCCATTTTACAGATAAGGACACTGAAGTTTCAGAGATGTTAAATCATGTCTCTGAGATCCTCCAGAGAGGATCACAAGGATGCAGGACTCAGACGGGAATCTTACGATCCCAAATCCTGCCCACTTTCCGCTCTTAGCATGTGATGGACTAGACACCAGAGCTTTGGTCTCAGCAATGCCCTAAACAAGTTGTGGGACCTTTAGAAAGTCATTAATTTTTTAACATCTTCATTATTTTTTTACTTACAGAGTGAGGGGGTTGAATTGACTAATCTAAAGGTTAAATAAACTGAATCTACATAAAAGGCTTTCTAGTTTTAAAAGCTGAGTTCAAATCACTGTTTTTAATCAAACTCCTAAAGAAATGACTTCTATAAATTCATTTAGAATTGAAAAGACATTTTGGGAATCATTTCCTATTTTGCCCGCAGAAATTAATGGTCTATCAGAAAATGTACATACTTGAAAATGTTTTGAAATATTATAATCTTAACTCATTCCAAAAATAATTTTTATAGAGCCTGAATCCCATTAGCTGATTTTCTGTTATTAAAGATTTCTCCATTCTGAACTTTGAAGGATTGTATGTAGTTTCATGAAAACAACAGGATTAAAGTTTTATACAGAAAATTTGAGTTCGCTCTGAAAATGTTGAGTGAACAACTGCACAATCTTGAATGAGAAAAAGTAGTCACAGATCTTAGTTTCTAGGTCTGAAAGATGGTGTAGATGGCTTCCTGCACGCCTAGGAGGAAAGCTTGTCATTAAATGAGAGAATATCCGTGAAATACCTCTGCGTTCTTCGGAGGATAGTTGCTACAAGGCATTTAATAAAAATTCATAGTGTTAGGGTATCTTTTTTCAATAACTTCCTAGTTTAAAAATATTATGTGAATGCTTTATTTGTGTTTTTTTCCACATCTATAGTGAATGTACATTTTGTTTGCCAGGAAGAGGAAGTACATTGTGTAAAATAATTTCTACTATAATGGAGGATAGCAGGTTATATGACTCTAGGCGTTAGAATTGTGAATCATCTCTTGTGTGTTTTCAACTAGAGGAAATCTGCCCGAGAGAGAGAGAAAAAAAATTCTACAAACCACAGACTCCAACCAATCACATAAAGACAAATCAGCCTGCAGACAAATCAAACGTCTTCGTTTAAAGCTTACCTGGAGTTGGCACTCTGCCCATCTTTTCCAAATCTCTTAACAATATAACTCCACAGAGAGTTACAAGCAGGCATAATGGAAGGCATGCCCTTTACAACGTTATTTTTCAAAGCAAGGAACGCTTTAGCTCAGGGAAGAGCTGGAAAAAGAAAAGATCCTTTCGGAGTTTGCAACACATGAATACGGGATTAGTGGGTGGGGCTGAGGTGTGCTCAGGTGCATAAATAGAGGCTTGGGCTGAGCCAGCACACTAAGAAGCTTGGACTGCGTTGAGGCCGCCTGGCTCACAAAGACAGGTGGGTGGGGACATCCAGGTAAGGCTCCTGACAGCCGCGTTAGAAGGGCACTTGTTAGCATGCGCTTTGGCCTCTGGTTACTGTGTAAAGTTGCAGGCAATCAACAGGCAAAGGAGTGCAGTTCCAAGGGCAGCGAAATGGGATTTGGAGAAGGAATAAATGGAATTTCCACCAAAGGCTTCCTGGAGCCTCTCTTTGGCAGAGCTATGTTCCTGAGCTTGCTTTCTCCTTTAGGAAATAAGAAGTTTAAGAGTAAGTGAACTCTAGGAGTTTTCAAGCCTGGCACAGAGCCCAGGGTCTTCTGTCTCAGTGACTGTGCCCCGATCACCATCTCATAATTTTCTGCTTCTCTCTCACTCACTAAAGCAAAGACCCGCAGGACTGTGAAATCTCAGCTCAGACTGGCTTTTTGGAACTGCAGTTCAGAATATGATTGCAAATCAGAAAACAGTTTTCTTTCTCTGTCTAATATGAATATATCCCTGTTGCTTCTTCAATCTTTAAATTCACGAGATAGGATGTGAGAGATCTAGTTGCTTTCCTGAAGCATTTATGAATGGGGACACCAAAACCTCCTGCAAGTCATTCCTTGTTAAAGATAAGAAGACAGGGATACAGTGACCAGTAAAAGTCCTGGTTTCTTAGCGTGTGTGTGTGTGTCTCCAAATTATCACTGTCTTCCACGGTTAGCTTTCTGGCTTGAGGTGGTTTGTGCAGGAAGTTTGCAGAGCACAGTCTGTGTGTATTATGAAAACTCAGTAGATTGAATCTCAGAAAGACAGCTCAGAGCAGGATGTTTGTACAGCAGGAGTTCTGTTCGGCTCCCTTGAGTCATCCTGCCATAAAACACGTATAACAGATCAATAGTTCCAACCTGTAAGCTGCGGAGTTACAGCAAAAGGTCCTGATAGCCGCTTGCACAATGAGAATTGTCAATGGACTACATAAATACTTCACCACCAGTTTACTGTTATTTTTTCTAATGTACATTAGATGCCATTGCTATAAATAAAATACAAAATCAAATGTTTGTTGATGAATTTAAAGCTGTTATTTGCATTCTGAATCAACTAATATTCCAGAAATATAATTATTCTCACATAAAGATTCTTGGTTTTGTTGTTTACCTTAAAAAAGAAATCTTTGTACTAAGGGGGCTGGGAATTGTTGACTTGTAGTGCATTTGAAGTGTTTCTGCAAAACACTGAATACAAAAATTGTTATTGGCATTTCTGTATCTTTCTGGGTACAGAAAATGAAGAAAGTATATTTCTTTTTTGCTTATGTCTTTTTTGAGTGAGACATTGTGTAGCTACGTACTATGACATGGATAATAACTGGTCAGTTTAATATAAGGCACTATCTGGATTTGGTAACTTGGCAGTGCCTTTCTTTTTTTAAACTGGCTAACACTTAGCAAAGGTTTCCACTCAAGCAATCAGAACGTGAGAAATTCTACCCCTTAAAAACACTAAGCATTGATAGTCCATCTTGCTTCCTTTGTGGAGTTCATTTGATTTAATTTGAAACCTACTTCACAAGCGTAGACTTGCACGCACAGTACGAGAACCAGGTGTTTCTTTTTAAGCAATTTCAGTCTTTGGCTTTACTAGCATCCCAGGTCTCCAGCTTTGCATGGATAACCATAGTGATTTGCTTGTGCAGCTCACTTTGCTAGGTGGCTCACTCCCTCACTCACTCATGGATCTTATCTTGCCATTCACTTTCCTGTTCATAAACCTGCTTAACAGTAGTATAATATTCCCTGAGAATTAACTTTGAAATACTGGAAAGGAGAACAAAATTAACAGAGACATCTATGGGGTTGGTTTCTCTGTGTTATGAGTCACATAGAATATTTTTGTGCACTAAAGTGCATGCCCACAACTACCTACCTATACAGGCCCACGTAGAGAGTCAAAGAATTATTTCACTGGAAGAAATTTGTACTGATATATTTTAATCAACTTACAACCAATATATAGAGTTTGAGTAAAGGTTACACCAGGGAGAGAGTTGCGTGGGTGCAAGTCTTTGTTTTTAAAAGATAAAGTTGGCAGTTTCTAAACAAAATTAGGAGTCATAATACTCAGGTCTTATTCTTCAGTGGTAACGTCCCCATCTTAACAAAATGTTAAATAAGTATGTATGTTTAGGGTGATTTTTTTCCAGAGGGGAAGCACTGTAAAATGGCAAGATCCAAAAGCTTTGGTTCTATGCCTATCTGATTCATCTTCATTTCTCTGAATTTCAGATTCTTCATCTACAAAATTAGGCATTGGGGAGGTGGGAAAAGAGGAGATAGCCCTCAAGGTGACTTCTCGTGCTAAAATTTTTAAAATATAAAATTTGAAAGCATATTTCCTTAGCTATAAGAATATATATACCTATCTACTTATTTTCTTAAAATATATAGATATCTGTATCTATTTCCATATCGTAATTTCTGTGAAGAATCTTCATCAGTATATTTATATCTATATGGAGCTATATCTACATCTATACATAGAGAGAGAAAGAGAGTGAGATATCATAGTATTATTCTTAGGAAAATTCTGTGGAAGGTAGTTTTTCACTCTAACTTCATGTGTTCAGTCTCATCTAAGCCTCAATTCCTGTTGTGTCCCATGGTTGTGATTCAACGTGAAGGTTTGGAAGACTGCTAGTTCCCTTTTATTTTACTGACTTTTTGCTTATTTGTTTGTCTTCCATATCAGATCCGTCATGGAGAAGATCTCAGTGTCAGCATTCTTGCTGCTTGTGGCCCTCTCCTACACTCTGGCCAAAGACACCACCATCAAACCAGGGGCTAAGAAGGACACAAAAAACTCTGGACCCAAACTGCCCCAGACCCTCTCCAGAGGTAGGAGTCAGCGTCTTGTCACTTCCAGTAATTCTTAATTGGGAGATTTAACTCTTGGTGCTGAGAGTTGTGTGCTGAACTTATTTTTTTTAAATGTGTTTGTTCTAGATTTATCAAAGTTTATAACTGTTTCTGCTTTCCCTGGAGGTTTTTCCTCTTCTTCAGTATCAAATCTGTACTGATCCTAGATTTACCCCTGCTTTTCAACAGCTTTGGGTCTGAAAATATAACAGCTTTAAATGTACTGGTTCATTTTGTTCTAGGTTGGGGTGATCAACTCATCTGGACTCAGACATATGAAGAAGCTTTGTTCAAATCCAAGACAAGGTAAAGACAAGTTTTGCAGCATTCTCTCAAAGCTCTCAAGAGCACCATCTAGTGATCTTTAGCTCTCCATAAAATCCTACTTATTAAAGATTATCCCATCTCTCTTTGTCTCCTAAAGCAACAAACCCTTGATGATTATTCATCACTTGGATGAATGCCCACACAGTCAAGGTAATTTACACTTCTAAATATAATTTCCTTTATAGGCTTTTAGCTTTAGGGCCAGGGTCCAGATCACTCATCTCTATATATCCTTAGCACCTCGCACAATTGAATAAAAAAAGAATATTTTATGAACAAAAACATATTTTAAAGTCACTTCAAATATGTCCACATTTTGTGTTAACTACTGGTTCACATTAGAAACAACAACAGCAGCAAAAACAAGCTCTAGAATTCATTCTCAACTTCCTGCTTTCTCTTACAGCCTGCATCTAATACATCAGCCAACACCAGTGCTTTACCTTCACAATCTATCCAAAAGCTAGCACCAGCCTCATGGGCACGCCCTGCCACAGTCACACAGGGCCCAGTGCTCAGGAGGTTCCTATGCTTGGTGTAAAGCTCCGTTGTTGCTGCCTTAAGAGTCATAACAATTTTTGAACAAGGGGCTTTCTACTGTCATTCTGCGCTGGGATCCTTATATGACGTAGATCCTGCCCAAATCTAGCCACTTCCTGTTTCCTCATTGCTACTGCCCTGGTCCAAACTAAGATCACATCTTGCCTAGAATCCTGTAATGGGCACCTGTCTGGTCACCCTACAGTCAGTTCTCCATGCAGAAGCCAGAGTGAGGCTGTGAAGCATAAATCAGATCCTAACAGTCATGTGCTCAAGTGACTTCTCATTACTTGAGAATTTAAAATTCAACCCACGCTCCTGACCACGGCCCACAAGGCTGGACATGATCTCGCCCCTGGTTACCTTTCCTTGCTCACGACCCTCCCCTTGTTTTCCCTTCACTCCAACCACCCTGGCCTTTGTGTTTTTCCCCAAACATGTGAGCCCATTCCCACCTCAGGGCTGTTGCTCCTGCAGCCCCCTCTGCCTTGTGTGATGTACCCGACATCTCAGAATGCATCACTCTCTCACTTCAGTGTCACCTCCTCAGAGGTCTACCCTGACCCTCTGTAACCCTTAAACCTCTTGCTTTATTTTTCTTCAAAGCACATATCTCCACCTAAAATTATTAGATACTTACTTTACTTCCTTGTTTACAGTCTGTCTCCTACATAAGCATTTGACCTCTATAAAGCAAGCACATTACGTTTTTCATTGCTCTCCCCCTCATGTGTACAATGCCTACCACATAGCAGCCACTCAATAAATATGGATTGAAAAAAATTAATGAAAAAAAATTAATGGACGAATGAATGAGTGAGTGATGGATTGAATGACAGAAGCAAAGTCAGTCAATGGCCTAGACGGTACTTCACTAATCATTTGTTGAAAGGGCAGAGTTGAATACTGTATTAAAAATATAGTTCAATATAAAATGTAACAGAGAGCAATGATTGTTTAATGATTTTTGAATCAGTAATGAGATGAATGCTTAATGATTTTTTTCTTTCGATTATAGCTTTAAAGAAAGTGTTTGCTGAAAATAAAGACATCCAGAAATTGGCAGAGCAGTTTGTCCTCCTCAATCTGGTTGTAAGTTTTCTGTTCATCATCACCGCCATTTCTCTGTGGCTTAGTATTTGAAACAGATGATTCATTTTTCCTATACCTCTTCATCATACCACAATACCTGGGATCTGTTCCAAATGTCTCTCATAGATTAGAGAGAAAAGATTTGATTCCACTTAGTAATACTACAATAAGCTAGGCAAAGTGAAAAAAAATCTTACACAAAAATAGTGTTCCTCAATCTACAGGGAAGTGACCATTAGCAAGAATATTTAGAAGTTAGAACCACAGGGCTTCTTGACTGCCAGAGGTGAGCACCAGAGTCAAATCTACAAGAGTGCTCTTAATGAAATAGGGAAGAAAGAAAGATTTTTTGAGAAGTGTGGACCAAGCTGATAAATTCAGCATGGGACATGTTGAGTTTAATGATGAGGTACCTGGGGCATGGCTGTCTAGATGGGCTGGACGTTGTTGCACGTGTGGGGAAGATATGAGAATTACCAGCGTGCAGGTGTTGATTAAAGGCAGATATAGATGAAATTGTGCAGAGAGAATATAAAATGTAAAACAGAACAAGGTCAGGTAGAGAATCACCAAGTCACTAATATGAAGGAGTAAAAGGAGGAAGAGGAGCCTGGGACGGGAGATGAGTGAGGAAGGACTGCTGGCGTAGATGCTCCTTGAAGAAACCAACCTGTCAACCTGTGAAGAGGATGAGAGAAAGCGAGAGAGGGAGAAGCTCAGGGGACATATGGTTGGGTAGAGCAGTTTTAGGGGTGGTTTATTGACTGTTTGCTTTTGGAAAGAAAGTCCTGTTTGTGTACGGAGTAGACGAATTTGTAAAGGCAGCAAGCTTGACCATCAGAGGGGTTGGGGATGAAGTCAGGTGGGAAAGCATGAGGCTACAGCACACGTGGAATGAATGGATTTGCACAGCTGGAGCGCTGTCTCTTCCAGGGAGAGAAGGGATATGGACTAAAGCTACTGGGGAAAGGGGAACAGGGAGGAATTTGCAAATGACAAAAACCTTCCAATTATTACAGCAACAGAAAAAATCTTGACCACAGGAGAGTTATTATTGCCTTCAAAATAAATCCTATCTAATCCCACATGATTGGCAAGGTAACTGCTCTAAAAACCAAATTGGTGTCATGGTACTTATAACACCCCTCCCACGGCTCTTATCTATTTATGAATAAATGTACACACTGTGGCATCATATGCAAGACCACGCATGAGCTGACCCCTGAAGTACCTTTCTAGCATCTTCCCTCACCACCGCCTCATGCATCCCTATACTTTAGTCCCATCCAAACACTTGGTTCTAGAAAGTGCTATGCCTTTCCTTTACCTTTGTATCATCTGTCCCCCCCTTGCCTGGAGTGATCTCATTTTCTATGCAACTGAGTCCTATTCATTTTTTAAATATTCCTCTTTACCCACTTCAGAAAGTCCTAGTGGAACCTGCATCCTGGGTTAAACAACCTGCTCTGGGCACTCGATGCACCTGTATACCCTCCATCATAATATTTCACCCACCAGATTCTTAATATTCACTTTCCTACTGGTATCTCCCACGATACCGTGCACTCATTAAAGGTAACTACTGTATATTTCTTTTTTCTGCAAGGGGAGGTAATTAGGTTTATTTATTTATTTAATTTTTTGATGGAGGTCTAGGGGATTGAACCCAGGACCTTGTAAATGCTAAGCATGCACTCTACCACTTAAGCTGTACCCTCCCCCCTGTAAATTTCTAAATAAAGACAACTCTAAATTTAAAAACTGATAAATGGATAAGTGAATGCTCAAGATAATCCTATTTGTTTCTGCAGTTTCTCCAAAAACGACTTCCATTTTTTTCATTAATCTGTTTCCTCCTACTTCATCCAAGATGTCGTCCCTGAACACTGTAATGCCTTCCAAATTCTCCCTTCTTGAACTTTTTTGCTCATTGTTGTCACCTACATCAGCTCTTTACCTCATGTTCTGTGTCACCATCTGCTCTATCTTGTTTATTATTTCAAGCATGTCACTTGCCTCCCCATCTACATTATAAACTCTCTGTGTTAGAGATGTCTTATAGTGTCTTAAGATGCCAAGCCCAGAAATGGACACATTTTTCTTTTAACAAGTTTGAAAACAATTGAAGAATAAATAGACTAAAAACTGCTTTTTTTTTTAAACCTTAGTATGAAACAACCGACAAACACCTTTCTCCTGATGGCCAGTATGTCCCCAGAATTATGTTTGTTGGTAAGTAAAAGTGACAATGAGGCAAAACACACTAAGAAATTCATAGAAGTGCCTCCACATCTCTTCCTCCATCCCCTCTCCAGCCCTCCCCTGCTGCTCCACCATGGCCAAGGCCACTGTCAAATTCTAGCAAGGGGTTTCACATGACTTTCACTTTCACATTTTCATTAGAAAATGCAAGCTTCTGTTTCCATACATGCCATTTTTTTCTTATCTGCCAATTTTAGCTTTTCCTCTTCTGCCACAAGGACACCTGAGAAAGAGCACCCTGCTAACTGTTTCAGTGGGTGAATCATTTTCCTGAACTGTGTCAGGCCTGTAAATATTTCTAATCAGGCCAACTTTTGATTTGCGTGTTGGATCTCTCTGACATTTTTTGGAATTATTCTTGGGCAAGTTATGAATATGGGCTGAAAGAAATCAAAGGAGCTATGTTCCTCTCTGTCAACCGGTACTTTTCATATGCCATTCCCTCTGCTGGAAAGCTTTTCCTGCTTCACCTTCTGTAGCCCCACGTCACCTAGTTAATCACTGTCATTCACTGACCTGCTCAAACCCCCACTAGGTGCTCTTGTGGCACGCTGTTCCTCTCAATGGTCACTCTTTCCTCGGTTACAATTTTGCATTTATTGGGTAATTGTTTAATAAATACTTCCCCCCTCCCATGGGGCAGGGACTAGACCTATTGCTGCTCACCATCATATTTTCAGCATGACCCTGTGGTAGACTCACAACATATATTTTAAATGATTGAACAAATGAGTTGAGTTTGGCTTTGATGAAAGTGATACTGATAAAAGAACCAGGCATCATTAAATCCATTACTGAGCCAAGCTCACTCTGCTCAAGTGCTTCATCTATTTAATTCATCTAAGTTCACATTAACATATGAAAAAGTGAAGGAAGAAGGCTGAACTGGGGCTCATTTTATAGATTTGATGTTGTTAGGATTTAGAAAATTTAGAAAACTTACACTGAAAGGGTCCTTGTCGGTCATCCAGGCACTCTTTTCGCGGTATTCCTGTTGAAGGGCATTTTAACCCCGGTTTGAGTCCTTCGGTCATAAGAACCAAGTCCCAGGCAGCTTGCTCTTCCTGCTCAGTAGTTCTCCACCCGGCCAGCAGGTTAGAATTGCCTGGAAGCTTGTTAAAAATCAAGCTGCACAGGCCACACCTGAAACCAATGAAATCAGAATGGCAGGAGGCGGGACACAGGTGGGCCTTTTTGGGGAAGCTCTGCTTTGGATCTCAGTATGCAGCTAGGGTTGAGAGCTTAAAAAGCTTTTCTTATGTTAATGTATCAGGAAGATTAGACCCTGTGTTTGTATCCTCTGCACCAAGGAAGAGTGGAGTAGGTCTTAAGTCTTCCTCGAACAAACGTAATGTCTGCTTCATGCATTTATGTTTGCTAAGCCTAGTCCTCACATTCTGAAATGACAGACACTGTCCACTCAAGTCTGGTAACAGACTTCGCATTCTTGCGGCTGGGTCCCATGTGTCCTCTTCATCTAATTTTCAGGACATTTTCAATCACTTCTTAAGGCAAAGTTCTAGACCTCTGTGTATCCTAGTACCTCCCTTTTGCATGCATCTTATTTATACCTTTTTTCTTCTTTAATTGATAACTTCAAGTTAAATATAAAACATGAAAAAGAAAAAAAAGATTTAAACCTAGAAGAATATATGTATAAGGGAAGACTCCTAAATCTGTATTTTAAAAATGCAGCTAGTTAACAAAAGTAAAAACAGAGAGGGCACTACACACTTATTTTACCTTTTGCTGCTCTTAAGGGCTTGCTTTCTTTTATTCATTAAAAAAAAAGACAAGGCTGGTTTTGAAAACTAGCATTTGATGAGAGTTTCTAGGTATCTATGTTGCTCTTGGTAACAAATTTCAATTACAATGTAATCCTTTCAAAAGTTTAAAATAATTCTTTAGTAAAGAATTCCAATGTTTCACCAAAAAACCAAAACACCACCCCAACAATGGATATTATCCTATTTTCAGGTTGCTATAGACAGGACTGCAGGGTTCGTAACCTTTCCCACAAAAACACTGCGCAACTGTTGAATACTCCCAGCCTGGCTTTGGGTACTGACTGCAGGGGCTGGGTGGCAGAGTGGATGGAGTAGGACCCCATCCAATGGGACACACTGTTCCTTTCATGGGATGAGGATGACTATGTAGGTTTCACCATGCAACAGAGGTTACTTTGAAACACTGTACTTCATCCCCTTTGGCTTTTTCTTTGTAGATCCATCCCTGACAGTTAGAGCTGACATCACTGGAAGATATTCAAATCGTCTCTATGCTTACGAACCTTCGGATACAGCTCTCTGTAAGTGCTACCCCCTCTGAATATCTGTACTAGAGTCCACATGGGGTGGGGAGAAAAAGCTGGGCTCAGAGACACCAGAGACTCAGTCTCCTATCAAGCCTTGCATCCTCTGGCAAATCACATTTTTTTAATCTAATTTTTCAAAAATCTCATTTAAAGATGATTTAGATGAGGTATATTTTCCTCTAGGAGGATCCTATGCCCAGACTACCTGCTTTTCAGGTTTCTCTTAGGCATGCTTCACAACTCCTTCAATCACAGAAGTGAGTGCAGCAGTCATTGTGCTATATGACAGTAACACTAGCAATCTGCACGCTTTGGTAAATGTTTTTTTCCAAATGACAAAGGCAAAATAATTTAGTCCAGCTTGTTAAAGGTGAACTCAGATTGAACTTTAAAGACCAGCAGGAAAGAGAATAGGGCATAGCTCAATGGTAGAGTGCACACTTAGCGTGCACGAGGTCCTGGGTTCAATCCCCAGTGTCTCCATTTAAATAAATAATTAATTAATTAATTAAACTAAAGAAAAAAAAAAGATCAGTAGGAAAGATGGTTCCAAATAGTTGCCAAGATACTCACTTCCCCTGGGATTGCCATAAAATAGGAAAAAAAAAAGAGAGTGAGATTCAAGGCAGATGAAATACCTCAATGGGAAACTGTACCTAGCTGTGACATCTAATTAATCCTCTGGGAAGAAAACTGGATTTTGTCCTAAGGACCATTTCACTCAATGACTAGTGGCTATGTAGACCTGCACTGCCAAATATGCCAGCCATGTGCTTAAGATTAAATTTAAATTAAGTAAAAATTTGAAGATTCAGATCCTTAGACACACTAAACACATTTTAAGTACTCACTGAATAGGCACTGAAAATTTTTCATCACCACAAAGATTTCTATTGGGTGGCACTGACCTAGAACATTGTGTTGGGAAGGATAGTGAGGCTGTATCTGGGCAGCAGGAAAGATTACCCTGGTCCATTACCGATGCCTCCAAGAGGTGCTGGGAGGACCAGGGGAAACATATTCCAAGTGTACTGGCCATTTCTGAGATAGTAGAATATATCGTAATAAGACTTTGGGCTCCTCATTTAAGGCAGGTATGCTGTATCAGTAACATCACAGGGCCTTGCAGAAAAAGGCAATTTGTAGATACTAACTACTATATATAAAATAAATAAGCCACAGGGTCCTACTATATAGCACAGGAAATTATATTCAATACCTGTAATAGCCTATAATGAAAAAGAATATGAAAAGGAATATGTATAACAAATATATATATAGTTGAATCACTTTGCCATACACCAGAAATTAACACAACATTGTAAATCAACTATTACTTCAATACAAAAAAAACCAAACTGGAAGACAAGTGTATTATAATAAAAGCTATTTCACATACTTTTAGAAAAAGAATTTACAATAAGATGACCAGCTAGTTGCCCTAAGATGAAACAGTGCCCCATTAAACAAGGAATAGAATGCTTGAGTTTGCGGGTATATACATCTACTTATATAATTTCTGATGACTCTTGTAACTTTTTCCCACATTAGTGCTTGACAACATGAAGAAAGCTCTCATCTTGCTGAAGACTGAATTGTAGAGAAAAAAATAAAATCTACAAACGCTTCCCTCTGTGTTAGGCTTTGAGACTTGGAATCAGAAGAGATGTTAGAAGACTGTGGAGAAAGCAGAAGTCGTGGTGAACCTACTGGTTAGATTATGGTGTCATGTTACGAGAGCTTTTATTTTTAAACTTGGTTTTAAGTATACATGTATGAAAACAATATTGGATACTACCATAGTGAGCCATGATTTTTTAAAAAATAAATCCTTTTAGGGGTGTTCAAACTGTTACCTTTTTTCTCCCCCAACTTGGTCTTTCACAGAAAAGCTATTCAGTTCATTCACCAAATAGGACTTTTGGACACAAAATGTTCAGAAAAGGGACAAAATGAGTTCAAGTAATGAAGACCCAAAACAGTCAAAGTTATCATCTCATCTCACTATAGTTCCTCACTGGGTGACTTGAAGTAGATATGAGCTTGAACAACAGATGCACCAAACGATATGTTTTAGTGTGAAAGAATATCGAGAAAGGTATCACGAGAGAATCAGTGCCGAACTGAAGACAACCCCTCTTCACCCCAGCCAGCAACACCGATGTATACACTTGAATTTAGCAATTCAGTTTTAGTTAGATTTTGCTCTCAGAGAAAGCCTCTGATGGGTAGTTTTCTCCTTCAGTCGACTGATCTTGTGAGAAGGGCATTCAAAGAATGTCTGCATCCTTGAACACACCTCAAAAAAACCCTAAGAATCAACCTCAGAATATATGTGTTCCTTAAGGTTTGAGAGTACTGGCCTGAAATAAATCCAGATGATTTGTTCTCATCTTATTCACCAAAATGTGACTGGCTGTGGGAAGAGGAAAGGGCAGCGATACCACGTCTTGAGGGGTAGAGATCAGAGGTCGCTGCTTATCTTTGGAAAAGTTTAGCGAGGGAGTGGCATCAGATAGGGAGAGACTTTACCTACTTTTAACTCTTTATTCTGCCTGACAAAAGTTAGAACTGTATATTAACTTCTTCCCTACATATTTAATCTCACATTCATTGTTACATACAATTCCTTTATTACCCAACTCTCACTGCCTTCTTTAGTCCCTGAATGGCTGTGGTGATCCATGCAATGCTATGCATATTATCTATTCCTTGTCTTAATTAACTTTTGTTTGTCTGGAGAGATCCTTTTCTGAATAGATCCTTTGGCATTATGAACTTTTCCAGTCAACGCTTTTAAAAATATTTTTCTCTCACACGGTTGTCATAGGGCTCTGCACAAAGAGGTTCTAAGCATACATTGCTGATTTAATAGCATACAAATCCTCAACAAAAATATCACCAGAGGGACTGGGCGCCCTTCTCCTAAGTAGGTAGCCTACATGTGCTTTAAAAGGTAAAACATCCCATTTAGTAAGCGCTCTGATGGTTAACTGGAGGAAAGAAAGAGTTTCCTTGAAAACAAAATTTTTTAAGTGAAAGCAAGTTTATTTAGAGAGGTACACATTCCCCAGACAGAACATGGTCTGTCTCAGAAGGGAGAGCGGCCAAATACTTTGAATGACAATTTGTAAGCTATTCAGGTGTCCTCTATTGTACAGCAAAATAATACATGTGTTTTTTTAAATTGGGCTGATGTGTGAAATAAGATTAAGTCCTTAAAATCTGTTGAATGATAAAATGTTCTTTTAACAACCCATGTAATTAAAAATAAATAAATAAATCTTTGAAAATTCAAATGTCAAGGTTGCAAGGAAAACAACTCTTCCTTAGAAAAGTGTTAAACACAGAGCAATAGTCATTAAAAAAAAAAGTTGATTGATTTTGACCCAGTTTCCTCTACTTCTGAGAATTTGTCCTAAGGAAATCATTCAAGAGGAACAGTTCTGTGAAGATGCCAATAGCAACATTATTTAAACATACAAAACAAAAAACAAAAAACAAAAAAAGGATAACCTCCAAGTCTAATGATTACATAGTACATTAACAGAAAGTGCATTATGTTGTCATCCATAAACATAACAGAGAAATAAAAAGCATAAGTGAAAACGAATTTAAGAATTTCTATGCCATAACTGCAGCTGTAGGAAATGTGCACATACACAGGTTAGAAAGATAAGTTGCAAACATAAAAACTGTTGGTTTAAGCTCATGGAAATGTTAACAATGCATGTTCTTTCTATCAAACCCTTTATTGTCATCTCACAATCTTTCCTTTGTGTTTAAATAAATGTTAGTGAATCTTAAGAGAGAAACAGGATACTTTAAGACTAGAGTATCATTTCAAACAGTTGACTATGTTGGTAACCTAGTGGAAATGTAAAATGATGTAGCTACTATGAAAAAAAGATGACTGTTCCTCAAAAAATAAATACAGAATTACCAGACAATCTGGTAATTCCAAGATATACCCAAAAAGATACTTGTACACTCACACTTAGAGCAGCATTATTCACAATAGCTGGGAGGTAGAAGCAAACCAAATATCCATCAATGGATGAATGCGTCAATAAAAGGTGGTATACATACACGGTGAAATATTATGCAGCCTTTAAAGGAAGGAAATTCTGACAACAGCTGTAACATGGATGAACCTTGAGGACATTATGCTAAGTGAGATCAACCAGTCACAAAAGGACAAATACTGTATGGTTTCACGAACACGAATTATGTGGTCAGGTTCACAGAGACAGAAAGTAGGATAGTGGTTGCCAGCAGCTGAGGGGAGAGAGGAATAGAGAGTTCCTGTTTAACAGAGTTTCAGTTTGGGAAGATGCAAGTGTTCTAGAAATGGATGATGGTGACAGTTGTGCAACAATGTAAATGTAGTTAATGGCACTAAATTACACACTTAAGATGGTTAAAATGATATATTTCATGCTATGTATATTTTACCACATTAATTTTTTTCATTAGTTTTATCTGAGGCCCTACAGCTTAGGGGGGAAAAAAGACTAACTTTAAAAAAAAAAAAGTGAGTAACAAAAACCATCTGTCAAAGTCATTTACGTACCTGCCTAAACCTTTGTTACCTGTTTCAGAACTGCAGTCTTCTTCCAACGATCACCTGTGACCGACTACCTCTGCTTTGGTTTTCTTTGGTTTGCATTCAGTATTCCTAAGTGGCTACTGAGGTCCTTATACTTAACAATCACTGGTGAGAATGGGAGCTGGGAGGAGAACAGAAAAGCTCAAAGACAAGAACAGAACTTTCCAATGACCCCCCACCAGTGAGGCGGACTTCAAAGTCCAGACGAAGTCAGCCTAACTTATTAAAAGGCCACTTGTCAAACTGTGACCTCACTGACCTGTAGAAAGCAGATCCTGAAAGTAAAGATTTCACCCTCCAAGTGATGTCAAAGTCCAGGCTTTGACATAATTTCAACTCACAGGCAACACCCTGAAGCCGTCCTTTGAAAATGAACTCCAAGAGCTGATTTTCCTAAGGAGAGAAGAGGAGAAACGGCCTGCCACATGGTAGGAGGGTCAGCTTTTCTCCTTTCCCACTGTCTCAAGGGTCATTTCAACAGCAACAATTGCCCAGTTGTGATCGTGACATTCCAGGAAAACTTTGATATGAAAAGCTCTTTTCTTTTCTCTCTCTCTCTCTCTCCCTCTTTCTGGTGTCCGGTGGAGGTATAGGGTGAAGGGCACTGCTGGCTGCTCCTTTAAAACTGTTTAGAAAACATTCCTTGAAAACCCACCTTGTCATTGCATCTGGCAAAGAGAGACCAGTGTAAAAATTAACTGCTAGCCTCAAACGTTCTAAGTACAGAACAGAACTGTACACAAATCCCTTCACTTATCCAGAAACCTGGACAACTGAGCCTTTAACTTAAGCATCATCTCTAATAAAACAACTGACATGTGAATGATCCTATTTGTACAATCACGATGCAAAAAAAAAATCTGAAGGTGTTTTTCCCCTAGAAAATACTATGTAGAAATGTGATTCTAACTTTTTCAGAACCAGCTCAACAGTGAAATAGTTTCATACATTTAATGAGTGCATTTCCAAAAGGATGAACACACTTAAAGGCGGTTAAACAAATATTTAGAAAAATTGTGGGAGGAGGTATTTGGCTTAAGGAGGCTAAGAACTCAAAGCCACTCTTTTCCCCATGAAAGGTTCCATTCAGAAACATATTACTTAGGTTGAACATGCATAACTGGTTTTCATACCAAACTCACTGTCGCTTCGATCACACAGTTATCTGAGATGAATTTAAGCCACAGGAGCTCAGACTTCTAGAATTCCTGGCCTGACCTTTTTTCCCCTCTGTATTAGCATTATATTCTATAAAATTTTACCTTCAACATCCAGGCTGACTGGGCAAATGTTCTAAGAAACATTTTTCTAAATGAAATACATAAACAGAGAACAAGAGACTTTTTTAAAGTAGGGTTTGTTTTTAATAAATGCTAGGTTTAGGGAAAAAAGGAGCTCTAGGGTCTTGAGTTTGCCTTAAAGCCATTTGTTGTAATTCAGAACACTCTGATTTGAAATTCACCGTCCCCTGAGGCCACATGATGTGTTTGTGGCAACATTTCTGTGCACACAGGCAGTGGCCCTCCTGTCACCCTGCGATCAGCCTGACCACCACAGTCACCCTCACAGCCATTCGGGATCCAGGACAGACATATTCAGAATTCAGGAGCCCTCCCGATTCATGCTTCCCAGGCCTGGTTTGTAACTGGGTTGCTCTAAATCAGGTCATTGCAATTAGAGCACAGACCAAGGTTATGGGTTGGTTCTCTCTGGAGCAGCCCTTTCCAAGTATAATCATTTGTACCAAGGAAAGTAGTCTATTAGGAAATTCCAGAACCTCATGGTAACTTCAAAATGTAACAAATCGAACAGGGAAAATACAAAATGCCTTAAAGGAAGACAAAGTCCAAAAATCTCACTTCCTTCATGGTGTCGCTTACAATCTCATCTTATGGTACAAGTGGGAACATTTTGGGGATTGCCCAGAGCTCGAAATGACTTTGAAGGATAGCAGAACACACCACTCTAGGATATGCCTCTTCTGCCCCAAGATTATTTTGAGCTGATTATTTTAGAGAAAGGGACTCAAGAGAAGTTTAGAAATCAAAGTAGAAGTTTACTCTTCTGCAAGGTAAATTTACATTTAAATCACCCCGTGTAAGGGTGTCTCCTTCTCTGTATCAGGAAGAGGGGGAAGACTACAAATCACAAGACTCTTACTTATGGCACTGCTTAAAATTGCTATGTAACAAACCTTACCCTTGTTTACTGTGCTTTTCCTGATAACCTCCCATAAACCGGCCTCCTGACCCTCCCATCCATCCCCCACCCCACCTGACTCAGACCTTTCTTTCTTTTGCCTTCAGCTGAAGATGGTATTAAAAGATGGTGGCTTGAGCCATCTCAGGGGTTAACTGGTTTTTCTGGGTATTTCCCATGTATACATCAGGTATACATGTTAATCAACTTCTGTTGTTTCTCTCGTTATCTGTCATTTATCACTCGGGGTCTCAGCCAAGAACTCAGAAGAACAGAGGAAAAATTATTTTTCCTCCCCTACAACAGCCTAGCAACTGTACCAGGGGAATTCAGTTTTCTTGAAAGATGAGCCAGTCTTTCAGAGGCACACAAGTGACACACCCACAGAATGCTTTAAAATTCTGTAGATCAACCATTTATCCTCTTTCTTGGTCTAAAAGCCAACAAAACAATTACCAATAAAATACCATCTACTACATAAAATATAAAACAAGAAATTAGTCATTTTCAGTAACAGGAACAAACTTACATATTTTTCCCAAATAAATATGAGTGACTTTTCCTATAAAAAACAATTTTCACTATGGAGAAAATATTAGACACTGAAACATTTCAAGAAAAGATTGTGGAACGACTACTAGTAGACATTAGTGCTGGAAGTTAATTCTATGGCCAGATTATACTGGAGAAATACTCAACTCTAGGTCAGTCAAAGAGAACCCCATGCAAAAAGAAAAGAATTCTACTACACTTAATTTATTTACCAATTCTTTCATTAATTTCTTTCGATTCAAACATTCATACACAACAAAGTTTCGCCATACTTTAATTTTTTAATATACAGAACCACGATACTATTTCAATTTCAAATTGTGGGAGATCACACTCAAATATGCTCGGATTTGACTAGCTGCTATTACAATACTGAGAAATTTCATGGAAAAGGTATCTAACAATTTATAAGGTAATCAAATATCTTTTTGCTACGTGGGCCAATGCATTAATAGTAACTGTTTAAAAATGCAGTCTTTTGGACTTTAAATTATTACAAAAAGAATACCAAGATTATTCAGATACAGTCTCTGAATTTCTCAAACTCATTCCACTTTGAAGTCTGAAGGCAAATGTTACACATCAGAACATTCATGAGACCATTTCTCTTTTGTACTTACCTGTAAAAATAAAAAATGAAACCACACTTTCCTATATCTATTTCTAGAATACATTAGAGTAATCAGAAAGCATACTAGAACTAAATTATTACTTTTATGTGAACAATTTTCACCACAATACATCTTTCCTAAGAAGACAAAAACATGGGAATTTACATTCCCTTACTGAACTTAATGTAATTGAATCTCATACTTTCTGGCTTCAAAAAACTTCAACTCCTTTTTTTTCCCAGGAGGAACTATCTACACAGCACAGTGCTACATATAATTAATTGTTCCAGTGAGATGTATATTTAGATTCACAATATGATTAACACAATAGTGCCATACAAAGTTCTTCTGCAGGTAAAAATGCTAAGAAAGGCCACAGTGGACAGTGCTAGACACTGTGAATACAGTAGATTACAAGTACCACTGAGGTTCAGAGGAGACCACAAGTTTCAGATTTTTTTCAGCAATGGAAAAAGAAAACCATCTAGAGAAACATAAATGTAAAAAATATAATTCCACAGTCAATAATGTAATTTTTCAGACACTGATTCCTTAAACAGGCAAATTAGCTTAACTTAATGTTGGAGGAAGTGTACAAGATCAGAATAGGAAAGATTTTCCTTGTTCTCTCATCAAAGGAATGCACTGGGATTAGCACGAGGATCTTTCTGGTTCCTGTATCTGTAGGTCAGCCACACACCCAGGATCTGGAATGGAAGAAAGAAAAGAAGAAAGAGTAACAGCTGTGTACGTGTCTTCCATTTATCTGGAAACTCTGAAGGACCCTGTGTTATTTGTTCCAAGAGGAAGAGATTTCTTTTTCTTTTTAAAATGTAAGTAAGTAACCCAAATTAGAGGCCCTAACAAAAATCAGTATGAACGTTGTGGTAGACTGAGTAACAGCCCTCCAAGGATGTCTACATCATAATCCCCAGAACCTGCAAATATGGGACCTCACATGGTAACAGGGACTTTGGGACATGACTGAGTTAAAGACCTTGAGACAGGGAGATTAGCTGGGTGGACTCTGTGATGTAATCACACGGTCCTTGCAAGAGGGAAGCAGTTAAGGACAAAATCAGAGATGTAGACAAAAGGCCATGTGATGACAGAAGCACTGGGAAGCAGAGTCAGAGACAGGAGATGCCACGCTGCTGGCTTTGAAGATGGAGAAAGTCAAGTCAAAGCAGAACCATGGAGCGCAGCAGCCTCTAGAAGCTGAAAAAGGCAAGGAAGCACGTTTTCCCCTCCAGCCAACAGAAGGAGCCTCCATTTTAAACTTCTGACCCCCAGAAGTGTTAAGATGAAAACATGTATGGCTTGAAGCTACCACATTTGTTATCACTTGTTAGAGCAGCAATAGGAAGCCAATACAAACACTAAATTGTCTTCACAGCTGAAAATATCACAGAAATTCTGTTCATTCAGAAATAAACTGGGTTCAGCAAAAAGTATAAAAATTCTACAATAAACACATTTTACAACACAGATCATAAAAAGGTTCTAAGTCCTACCTCTCCCAGGCTGGGGGACATACACTCTTCCAAAAGGAATAAGTGGTTACTGTGCCATTTCCTACACCACATTCACTAAAGAGTTAGCCAACATAACTTATTTTTTAAATTAAGAAATGCATTCATTCTGTTTCTGTTCCCTTGATGTTGATTTATTTAAAATAAGCAAAAAATTCTTAGAGTGAAAACAATACAAAATTTTAATGGAGCAAAATAAGTTTCAGATTATATTTCCCACTTTAGATCTGTAAACATTTTGTTCATTTGACTTCATAACTACCCATTAGCTCTTTAAATTATTCCTAGAGAATGATGGTAAATCCAAAATTTTTTCCATTTACCACAGTAATAATTCCTCGGTTACTGTAAAATTCATGACTGGCAATGTTTATACGGACAATACATAAGGGCTGATGGAGCTATGGTCTGTGTGTTGAATCAAGAAAGATAAGTCTAATATAAGTAAGTGGAAAGTCTGGTTTGGAGTTGGTATGACGGGGGTAAAAGGAATTTACTAAACAAACACGCCTCGAGTACTTTGTGACTGGCCCTGTTCTTCACGCTTTTTCAATTCATACAATTCAACCAAAAGCCCTGCGTGATAGGAACAGTTATCATCCTCCTTTCATCAGTGAAGGAACTGAGGCAGCACGCGGTTAAGCAACAGGTTAACAGTCACATAGGTCATGAGTGTTAGAACCGGGGTTCAAATCTGGAGTCCAAGCTCTTTATCACACTTGTGGTGTTCTGTGAAAATCTGATGCGTCCCAGGTCATTCCCAGACAAACGTGCCACCTACCCTCTCAGGCATGCTGGCTGTTACATGCTGAAATACTCACACACCTGTTGCCAAGCAGCTACTTCTCTGACACCCCCAGCCTGCCATAGTGTCATTCCCCTGACCCTGCCTCAGATATGCTGGCACACAGGGAGCTTCCTGTTAGAATTTTTGAGGTGGTTAAATATTTCGATTATCGCCCCTGGATACACACCAACAGTGTAAGTAACAGTTCGTAAGGGAAACAAAGCAACCTATTAAGTACTCATAATCTGGAGCCACATTTTACCCGAATTCAATTCTTCCAATTCGGCTGTGACAGAAGGGGACAACCTCTTTGTGCAAGCCACTGCTAAACCAACACTATCACCTCCCTGCCTCCCAGGGAGGGCGCGGAAAGGAAGCCACACCCAAAATGCAAAAAGATCAAAGTCAGATAACTACTTAGGTTTTCAGCTTACAAAGGTGCTAGAGATTTTAAGCTTTTCTAGGGTAACTTGACTAGACCTGATCACGAGCTCTGCTGGATGAGTCGAGAACATACACCCAGGAGACAGTAGGTCACCAAAGTATAGCTCTACGAAATGTCCGTGCAGAAAGTGCAGTAAGTCTGTCCTTTGTTTACTTTTATAGTTATTAAACAGAGAGAGACAAAAGGTAACATGCCAAAATGCAAATGTTGATTATTTCTGAGGAAGTAATTTTACTTGGTATAGATACATTTAATCTTTCCGCTTCCCAATTCTCTGTATTTTCTAAAGTTTTCACAAAGCACATGTACCAACTGTCACAACTTTTTTTTTCAGATTCTAATCAATGTTTCTTTGATGGTTTAAATTTATTTTCCTGTATTACACATAGTTGAAATCTTTCTATTTCACCTACGACTGGAAATCATCAGCTAGTTAGTCTCATTCCTTCAAACTCAGAGAATCACTGATTTTGTGAAATACTGAATAAAGATTTGAAGCGTGAGACAGCCTATAAGATACTCACTACCCCAAAAAATGTCACGTTGGATAAGTTATTATTAAAATCTCTGACTAGGTTTCAAAAGGACATGGTATATAGAATACAGAACAGGAGTCCATGAAGGGACACTTAAGAAATCTAAGACCCATGGGTTTATATTCTTAAATAATTGATATTCAAAAAAACAACTGGGGCTGGGAGGGATGAGAATAGGCAGATCACAGAGGATTTTTAGGTCAGTGGACATACTCTATATGAGCGCATAATCACAGATACATTCGTCTGAACCCACAGATGGTACCACACCAAAAATGAACCCTCATGTAGACTATGGACTTCAGGTGGTTATGATGTGCTAACGTGGGTTCATCAATTATAACAAATGTACCACTCTGGCAAGTAATGGTGATGAGGGAGGCTGTGTATGTGCAGGGGTTGGGGGGGCAAGGGAAGTATCGGACGCCTCTGTGCCTTCTTCTCCATTTTGCTGTGTCAGCTTAAAACTGTTCTAAAAATCAGTTCCTTTTCAAAAAACACGCATCGCTGAAGGCAGTGTGATCTGATGAGGAAAAAAAATGCAGCTGCTCAAAAAACCAAAATTCTCAAAAAAAAAAAAAAATCCTGGATAGAAAAGAGAAACCATGTGGCAAAATTCTGATAACAATTGATCTGTCTAATGGAGTATGAAGAGATGGCTCATTCTGGTTTTTCCCCACTTCTGTTTTTAAGTTTTCATGAAAAAAGTCCATGTTTTCTTTTAAAAGAAAGAAAAAATGTACAGAATTGTTTTCAAGCTGTGTATGAAGTTTCTTCAATCAATGCCATGACTAACCCAGAAGTAAAACAGCTCTTTCCTGAGAAAAAGTGAAAAGAAAAAAATGCTTAGAGTAGGAAGGGATGTCAAGGAAAACTTCTTTTAAGAAGTGAATACTAAGCTTGGTCATTATGTCCGTTTTCATAGTAACAGCCAAGCATGGATTTTCATTCTTGAAGGGAAAAAAGGAAACTGAATTAGAACAAAATCTATAACATGCACATATTTATATGTCTATATAATATGCTATCTATACTAATAATACATTTTATACATATTGACATAATGTATACATCACATACACAAATTCAATACATGTTACTCACACAATCAAAATGAGAAGATTTAATGCATAACATGGTGACTATAGTTGATAACACTGTATTGTACGATTGAAATTTACTAAGAGAGTAGAACTTGATGTTCTCACACAAAAAAAGGGAGGGGGTAAATATGTGAGATGATGAATGTGTTAATAACTTGATAGAAGAATCCTTCCGCAATGTACATGTATATCAAGTCATCATGATGTACATTTAAATATCTTACAATTGCCTTGGTCAATTATACTTCAATAAAACTGAAATATAGACATATTACATTTTATATATTTTTATATTTAATTATATAGAGAGAAATAAATTTCTAGGCCCAAGATGAAGCTGCTCTTATCCAAAACTGTATGTCAGCAAAACGAAACTTAGATTCACTTCTGTGTCCCTATAAATGTTCCCCTTGAGCAGAAGTGCAGTGTATTCAGTATATTCGGTCAGCCCATCCTAAACGGCCAAGCCAACTCTGCACCTTTGCACCCCAGACAAGACTGACTATGTGGGCCCCAGCCAATCAGATATTTCCTATTTTTCTCTCCCTCTTGCTTTATCCTATAAAAGCTTCTTGCCTTCCACCCTATTTTGCAGCTCTCTGAAAGGAGATTATCTACTTCATGAAGTGTTGAAGATTTTATTACCTACATTGTCTTCTTTTGTCATTTTTTTAACATATATAATCAAAATGATAAAAGCCCTTCCAAACATAAAAATCAACTGGACAAACCGCAGAGGAAAAAACAACAAACTTACCTACATAAAAAGTAAAACCTTCTGTAAATTTTATTTCAAAGTCATTAAAAAGTTAAGCAAATGCCAAAGAGACTGAAAGCAGAACAAAGAAGCCAAGTAGAGCGAGGGATGCGAGGAAGGAGGCAATGGAGGGAAAGAAGGAAATAAAAGGGGAGCAGGCAACGTCTTGTGCCCTTGGGTTTCTAGGACTACCCCTGTGAGCTCCAGCTTGTGCCCCCTTCCAACACAACTTCTAGGCCCCGAGGCCCTCTTTGCTCTTCTTGTACAAAATTCCCTTTTTTGCATAGATTGAGTTACAGGGGACCCAAAGGGCCACGGTCCAGACCAAAGTTAGGTGGGCAATTCACAAAAGAAGACATGCCAATAGTCCAGAAACATATGAAGATATTTTCAGATTCACTAGACACATTGCAAAAGAGCAAACAGAATTATAATAATGTTATTACTTACCAAACTGGCAACTTTTTTTTTAAATAAAAATAACTAGAATTAGTGGTTGAATCAAAATTTGGTAGACTCTCCTCCAAAACACAATTTGGCACTATCTACCGAACTTTAAACAGATGTCCACATACTGAACGTGTCTTATTTTACTTATAGACATGTACTCTAAGGAAAAACTAGAAAACACAGGTAAAAATTTTTACACAAGGAAGTTGACCATGAAATTACTTACTAAAGGGACATACTGAAGGAGAAATTAAAGGTCAAAGAAATTAAATGAACACGTGAAATTTCAAACATACAAAACACTGAATATTTTTCTGATATTCTTTTTTAACCGGCAGTACTGGGGATTGAACCAAGGACCTTGTGCGTACTAAACACGCACTCTACCATTGAGCTATATCCTTCCCCTCTGATTTTCTTTTAAAGATAAATGCTCACTCTTATGATAGCCTACCATATATTTCTACAGTTGTATGCACAATTTTACTTAATAGCATTATTCTGTACATGCTATTTGATTACCTGTTTAAAACAGGAGTGTGACATGGGCAACTAACCTGACAATAATGGAAGTTCCACCATCTTTTTTTTAATGGAGCATAATGTGGTGGCTTTTACATTAATAATTTACTAATACCTGCAACATGACACCTAACACTTACACACAGCACCCGGCATATGTCAGGTACTACTCTAAAAAATTACCAGTTTTACATGTTTTCTCTTAAGTATCATAACAACTCTACGAAATAGGGGCTTCCCATTTTTACACTTGTTTTTAAAGGTGAGGAAACAGAAACACAGAAAGATTAAGTAACTTCCCCGAGGCCACATAATTAATAGACAGTGCATTTTTTTTTAAACTATTTGTTCTTGTCTAATAAACTCTTATTTAACCAGCTCATTATTGAAGAACAAGGTGCTGGCCCAAAGGTTTGCTGTTATCAACAATAAAATTCTCATGTATTTATTTTATATAATTATAAGATTATCTCCATGAAATAAAGCACTGTAAGTAGAATTTATAAGTTAAAGAAAAAAATTTCAATACTAATACATACTATCAATTCAGGTGCATCAAAAAATGTCCACAATTGTTGGGGGTTTAATAAAGACAATGAGGAAGGAATTAGCATTCCTCAGAAATTATCAAATAATATGCTTGTGATTTTGCTTAGATATATATTATATACAACGTATTAACTATATAATAAATATATTAACATAGTATAAATACATATCATATAGAGAAAAAATTAATAACAGTGGTTACCTATAGGTTTTAGAAGGCTAAGAACAAAGGGGAATGGGGGATGGTGTTGGAAGGCAATTTTTCAAAGCATATCTTTATATAAATGTGTGTGTGTATTATATGTTAACATATATATTAAACAATGTGAATGTTCTACCTATTCCAGAAATTTTACTCATTTATTTACTTATTATTTATTTTTGTTGAAATATAGTTGATTTACAATGTTGTGTGAGTTTCAGGTGTACAGCAAACAGATTTGGTTATACATATTTATGTTTATATCCGTATTTCTTTTCCAATTCTTTTTCAATTCTCTTCCATTATAGTTTATTTCAAGATATCGAATATAGTTCCCTGTGTGATACAGTAAATCCCTGCTGCTTATCTACCAAAATTGTATTTAAAATTATAATTTATCACACAACTCTAGGAACAGAAGGGTCCCTAGAGATAACTCAGTCTAATCTCATTTCATCTGTTCACTAGACTGTACGTAATTTAACGATCAAGCATTTCACCCTGTAAAAGGTAATGCAAGATCTGTTAGGTCTTCTGATTTCAAGCCAGGGCTCCTCCTATTACAGTATTAGTACTCAATGAAAACATCCACTGATACATTCCCAAAGTTCAGTGTCATGCTATGGTGAAACACCATGCACTCCTGCCCTATGAAGTAGGAATCCCTACGACACAGGAGGGAAGATACTGAGTTATTTGCACATACCTCTGTAAAACTGAAGAAGAGGCCAATGCCGCCGACAAATCTCAAAACCTCTCCGGCATATTTTCCTATTATCGGAGCACACGGTAAGCACGAGTGGCTGCTTTTAATACAGCTCTGTATCAATTTTTAAAAAAAGAACTTTTATTTCAAAATACATTTAAAATGAGCAGATCAAAAAAAAAAGGAACCCACATAAAAACCGGAATAGCATATCCAATTGGGAGCCTCGGTTCCTTAGTAGTGCCTAAAATTCTAAGATGGCTCCCAGTATTCCCACCCCCAGTGCACATGCCTGAATAATCACCCTGTTGAGTGTGGATGGGATTTGCGAATATGATGTGTATTTTGCATTACATAAGGCACTGTCTTAACAGAATGGAGAAATTCTCACACTAACTTTGATGCCACCATGTCACAAGATGGCTGTACAGTTAGGAGCTGAGAGACACCCAGGAGGAAAATGGGACTTGAGTCCTACAACCACCGGAAGCTGAATTCTGCTAACAACAGCTTGGTGGAAAACTCCAAACCTCTGATGAGATTGCAGCCCTGGCCGACACCCTGACTTCATTCTGGTGAGATCATGAGCAGAGGACCCAGCTAAGCCAAACCCAGGCTCCTGACTTAGGGGAACTGGGATAATAAATGGGTGTTGTTTCAATCACTAAATGAGTGATAATGTGCTATACAGCAATAGTAAACTAACAGTCCCACAAAAGAGGCCTCATTGAGGGGATATCCAGCTCAGAGAGGGGGGAACAGGAGTTTCCCCAAAATATAAGCACATGTAAACTTCCCAGGAGAGCCGAGCTCCAGGTCCGACAGGACTGGGTTGGAACTGGAAGGTCGGGATGTGGCCTGGAACAACAGGATGGCTCTAATTGGTCCATCACTAGCTTATCCCCCAGAGAGAAGGGGCATGAAATTGTGATGGGGAAGAAGGGGAGGAGGAAAGAGGGCAGTTCCAGGTGTCCTCCACCCTGGGGATGCTCAGCTGGCTGAGACCATCCTACTCCTTCCACCCTGACAGGCCTCAAATCCAGTATATTTACACACCTCCTTGCAATCTGCAAGGCTCATCTGCTGTTATTTCTCTTTCACTTGTTCAGGAGGAACTGAATGGGAAGGAATGAGGAGCAAAGAACCGAAAGCATCTGTGTCTGGCAGGGCCCTGGGGTATTCAGTCCACTGAGGAGTGGATATTTGAGAACAGGCAAATGATACACTAGTGTATACAGAATATAATGCTGGTATAAATAAAACACTAAAAGTACAACTCAGCATCAGAAAGCCCATTTCTTCAATGTTAACCATTCTTCATCTGTATGCAATACATCCCCCCAAAATATTTCATACGTTGGACTTACAGCCGGACAGGTGTCATTTGGGTTAAAACTTCGGAACCCACAGCAGTTTAAATTTCTCTGGATGTCATTTCGAGCACTTGCTGTATTGTTCCAACCAACTTCCAGAAGCTGACCCTAGAAAATGCATTTAATGCATACCTTAAAATGTGTCATCTCTGCACAAAATGAATAAAGCTAGAGCCCGCAACTTTTAACACTGAGTGTACCTAAAATAAACACTCTTTATAAGACCATCAGAACTTTTCAAAGGAGGTTACACCTCAATCTGCAATGAAAAGAAGGCACTACTTCTATCCCAAGAACAAAACTTCTCCATTTTTACGTGAGATTGAAAAGAAGCCCTTGGTTCAAAGGCCTAATTCTCAGAGTGTAACAAGACAAATTTCCCATTGCCCCAAACCAGAGACCCATATTTTTCCACAAATTAGAGTCTGAAAAGAATAATTGCTGAAATGAAACCGCAAACATTCTGGAGCAAATGTTCCATTGCATAAAGGTAGGAAAAGACTGGATGAACATCCTTCAGCAATCCATTTTTTATCTAGTGAGGGCAAATTCCTTCTTAAAGGAGGCAAAAAATACCCACATCTGATAGTGTTTTAGGGCTCTAGTCAGCCCCCCTAAAGCAATTAGGAACAAAAAACTTCAGCTATGTAGAGTGAAATGGCATTCTGAGCCAGAAGAAATGATTTTATATTCCAGTCATCCCTCCCCCTTTTCTCCTACGCTTACTATGTGGAAAGACAAACATCTTTGCTTACCTGTTGGTCCTGGTTCAGGGCTAAACAAGCACATGATACAGAAAACTGAACAATAAATACAAGTAAGAGAATAATCATGTACTGAGAATTAAAGTCAAGGCTATTTTTGGAAACTTAAAATAACATAAAACAGTGGTACTGACAACTTTACAATGTGCTAGAAGGAATTCAACCAGAAAATAGAACAAATGGCACTTAGAGAAAGTTCAAAAAGAATACACATAATTTTTATTTTGATAACACACTGCAGATATAAATTTATATAGAAAAATACCAACAGTAATAATTATTATTTAAAATCTGACCTATTACAAAGTCATTTAGATTACAATAAAAATTCTTGCACATATAAAATAGGAAGTGAGTATAGATAAATGTATGGAAGCCTTCTTAAGTCTCAAAAAATAAACTTATGTAGAAAAATACTAACAATAATAATTATTAAAAATTGATCTACTAGAATTTCATTTCATTTAAAATAATAGTCTTACATATATAAAATAAGAAATAAGTATGGATAAATGTATGGAAGCTTCCCTAAATTAAAGTCTAAAAAAATCATTATGAAATTCTCAATCAAATATTAATGACTTGGAAAATGCCTAGAGGTCCCTGAACCAGTTCAATGTACCTCTGAATTTGCATCACATACATAGGACTACCTATACTGAACTTGCAGCATACATTCTTCAATACATGAAAAGGAAAGAGAATCTGTAAACATAAAATAACTTCACCCTAAGAAATGTTCCTAATGTTGGTTAAATAAATATACGTAATATTTGTTAGGAGTTACTATCTGGCAATTAATTTTCTAAATGACAATTTTAAATCAGTTGTAGTTATCAAAAAAGTAATCAGTACAATAAGAACAAATCCAATTGGGGTAACAAATCCCACTTTTAAAAAAGGATACAAAAAACAGCAACACCTGATGGTGCTTTACGGCTCCGATCAGCCCCACCAGCGCGATCAGGAACAAGAAGATGCCCACTGCGATGACCACGCCAACCACCCGGAGACTGGAAATCAGCCCGAAGCCAATGCCCCATGCAGCAATTCCAATTAACAACAGACTAACCAACTGCAAAAACAACCACAAAGGGCAGTAATAGGGGTGAGAGGAGCAGGGAGAAGAAAAAAAGGGGAAAGTGTCAACTTACATGTTAGTATCGAGAACATTTTTCAGGCACCTACTTAGTATCTTACAAATGATTGCTAATATAGTCAACACTAGAGTACACACATGATCTCATTAGATAGTATTGTTTTAACGAGTTACATTAGTCCTCAGTTATGCTTTAAAAAAAATGAACAATAATCTGTAAGATTATTATGGAGCCTCAGAGGTCATCTGGTTTACTAAACCTAAATGATTTCCACTCAAGCTTTTGAAATAATTGCATATGTAAAACTTCTACAACACCAACACATCTCTGTCAAACATACTGGTTTCTTCACATGGAAATCACTTACCTTTCCTTCAAAGCCCAGGACGGTAACCTTCCCTGTGGTGCCTTCCTACTTCTCATCAAACAATTCATGTCTCCCTTCTCTGGGCAGGTTCTGTTCTATGAATATGGTTCATCGCAGTAACATCCTGTTTCCAAGTCTGCCTCTCCTAGGAGTCTGTGAGCAACTTAGAGACCTCATCTTTTCACCTCTCTGTACCCCCAGAACCTACCACAACACCCAGCCCTTGGGAACAGGCAAAAATTTCTCAAAGAACTGTTGCTGAAGTGAACTGCTTTAGATACCATTTATTCTGTCAGAATTCAAATTAGAGAGAGACTATTACAACTTTGAGGACGAAAAGAGTCTAAGAGATTTTAGCCACTTAGAGTAAAATGGCATTCTGAGCAAGAAGAAATTATATTACACTCCAATCATTTAATTTATATTCTTATAAAACAAACCCACATAAAGACGCAGGACACATGTCTCAATCAGTATCTGTAAAACTCAAAGTTACAGTTATGTCTTTAAAATAACACTTAAATAAGTATGCCATACAATTAACTGATAGAAGATAGAACTTCAACAGGCGTGTGGGAGGGGGAGGAGTGAGGGCTGTGGAACAGGAAAGTGACAGTATCTTCAAGTCAGTTGACATTCAGCCATTTCCAGAAGCAAGTTGACAGTATCATACTTTGTTAGGAGGAATCAAAGACTATAAAATATACTTTCTAGCACCATTTCAAGGCCTACTAAACTTTGCTTTGAAATATAAAATAAATCACCACTCATTCAAATGGATCTTTACTCAAACATGTAATTTTTATACACATAGTTACAGTCTCATAGACACAAGTTTTAAATATCTCAGTGTACAAAACTTCACACGTGGGTACTATGCAAGTAAAACTGCTAAATATTGACAAATATAGCAGATATTTGTATTTTTATCCATTTTATTATAAAGAAGGAAAACTTGAGAATGGAAGAAACTATCTGTACCATGATAGAACCAAGTTACGGAGTTACATGGACTTGGTGTTCTCCATTGTACACACGGAAAGCTTTTGTTTTCAGAAGGAAAAGAAGAGGGAAAAAACTTACAAACTTTGCCACCCAGAAATTTGCCAAGTCCGTCTCATTTTCTCAAGTGTTCCTTCTCAGCAAGTCCATTTGCTCCTGTCTCGTTTTTGTCATCTCACTCAGACTTCTCACGACTTTAAACCATCTCAGATAGAGAAAAAGTCCTCTGCGCCATCACAAGTGAGCTTATTTCTGACTCCACTGTATCCAAATACAACACATTTCCTTTCACGAGGTGTAAAGGCAGAAGCCTAAAGGAGGTGTGAAGGGAGGAGAGGGAGATGATGCCTGGAGGGGGCTCGGCTCTGCGAGGTGAGAGGTTATGCTTAGCATCCTCACTGCACTGTGGTAACAAACCCTGAAGATGGGCCACATTGTAAAAATGCATCAGAGTAACTTGCTGTATCAGTCAGAGTTCTCTAGAGAATAAGAACCCACAAGATATATATTGGTGGAGAGGGATGTGGAGAGGGAGAAGGAGAGCAAGTGGCAGAGAGTTTAAGGAACTGGCTCATGTAATTGTGGGGGGTAAGAAGTCCATCATTTGTAGGGTAGGATGGCAGGTTGGGAATTCCGGCAGGATTCCTGATGCAGTCTTAACTAGGAATTCTTCCTTAGGAAACCTCAGTCTTTGTGCTTAATGCTTTCATGGTTCATAGTATGGGTGAGGCCCACAATATGGAGGATAATTTATTTTATTAACTCAATTGAGTATAAATTTTAATCACATCTAAAAAGTACCTTCACAGCAACAGCTAGTCTGGTGTTTGAACAACTATCTGGGCATCACAGCCCAGCCAAGTCGACATAAAATTAACCAACACATGCTAATTTCAAATCCTGGGGATAATGTCTATTTCCTAATTTAATTAAATTCAGGGGCAGGATATTCACTCTGTATTTCCTTATTTGAGACTTAGAGCCAAAAAGATCAGAAGCAGAAATAATATAATATATAGAACTCTTCTAACCCATAGTTTTAAAGAATCTTTTGGGCCCTTAATCAAGCCCTTAATGATATTAGTAAAATTCTTACCACAAGTTAAATATTCATCAACAAATGGTTGGTGTCCACTATACACCAAAAGCCAGAGACAAGGTATCTCTATTAAAACAGAGGTGGGTAAACTTCTCTATAAAAGGCCAGGTAGTTGACACCTAGCTTTGTGGATCACATGGTCTCTAACACAACAATTCAACTGTAACCCAAAAGCAGCAATAGATAATAAGGAAATGAACGAGCAGGGCTGTGTTCCAATAACACTTCACTGACAGATACTGAAATTTAAATTCATACAATTTTCATGGGGAACAAAATATTCTTCCTTTGATTTTTTTTTTTTCCCCAACCATTTAAAAATGTCAAACCACTCTTAGCTGACAGGTTGGACAAGAACACGCAGTGGAATGGATGTGGCCCCCTTGTTCTAGAACTCACTTTAGGATGAATGGAAAATTACAGTGGGACAAATCACTGCTATGTCAGAGATTTTCACAGGCTGAGTCAGAGTAGAGAACAATGTCATCACAAGTGTCCTTATGTAAGAGAAGCAGAGGGAGACAGCCACAAAGGGGAGACAGCAATGCAAAGGCAGAGGCAGAGGCTGATGTGACCACAAGCCAAGGAATGCTGGCAGCCACCAGAAACTAGAACAGGCAAGTTAGAAACTCCCCTGTAGAGCCTCTGGAGGGAGTACAACCCTGTCAACAACTTGATTTTGGACTTCTAGTCTCCTGAACTGTCAGAGGAAATTTCTGCTAAAGCCACCATGTTTGTGGTCACTTGTCACAGCAGACTACACAGCACACACAAAACAATTCACACGTTTGGAGTCAAACAAGTCCAGAACATCTGTTAAGGAAAGCTGTCTGACATTTTACCACCAATGCAACGCCTACCATGTAGCTGGCATGAAGTATTCAGGTGTCCCTATCAGTATCTTCCCAGCAAACCAAATCCTTTGTTTACAATAACAGCATTTCAGCAAAATGAGAAAATTGTTGTCTGCTCTCTCAGCTACTCAACTTACAGGCTCTCATTAACAATGAGAACCTTTTTTCCTTTGAAAAATAATGTCTATAACTAAAAGGGGGTGGGGCACTTCATCACTTCTTTAAGAAGTTCTAGGTCTTAGACTAGGCATTAAGCTGTTATTGAAAATATTATCTAGATCATTTACAAGGATCTCTGCCCTGATTTTTTTTTTTTTTTAGGTAGAGGGGGAGAAAGGCTACACCATCCTACATAACTGTCAAGAGTATTCCTCACCAAGTTCGCTCTGCTGTGTCTCTAATAGAGTTTTAGCCCATCTCCATCACTAATACTAGGTGCCTCTCCTTCAAAAACATTTTAAAGGATCTATCAGTTTCCTCTTGTTGCTTTAACCAATCACCACAAGCTTAGTGGCTTAAAAGAACACAAATTCATTCTCTGGCAATTCTGGAGGTCAGAAGTCCAACATGGGGTCTTACTAGGCTAAAATCACGGTGTCGGTAAGGCTTCATTTCCTTCCGGGAGCTGTAGGGGAGAATTCATTTCTTTTCCTTTTCTAGCTTTTAGAAGCCACTTGCACTGCTCGGCCTGTACAACCCCTTCCTCCATCTTCAACACCAGCAGTGTTGCATCTTCAGATTTCTCAGACTGCAACCTGCTTTCCTAAGTACATCACTTTCTCTGAGTATAACCCACCTACATTGTTCCTCTATGGACCTTTGCGATAATGTAGGGCTCCCCCAGGTAATTCAGAATAATCACCCCGACTCAAGGTGCTTAATTTAATCACATCTTCAAACTCCCTTTTGCTCTGTAAGGTAACATATTCACAGGTTCTAAGGATTAAGAAGTGCACTTTTGCGGGGAGAGGAGTATTATCCAGCCTACCATAGAGGCTTCCGGGAACATGGGCAACTGAGTTACCGTAGAATCCTTCCTGCTACACATACTTTAAAATACTGAAAAAGACTGTAACATTTGATTTAAATATATAGCTGAGCACAGAGGAACTGTGGGAAATTCCCACTGACCACAGAAGAAAGGAAAACCACAAGTTAGAACTGCAAAGATTCAACTGACACTGTGGGGCCATGAGAAATGGGGAAGGGATATCTAGATCAGTTCCCTAAGGGGAGGGACTTGGGTTTTAAACCAGGCAGAATTTGGAAGTGGAACCAAGACCGTCGCATATCTAGACCTCCAGAAAGCTGTACTTTCAGTGTAAACAGTCATAGAAAAACTATACCACCACACCCAGGAAGACAGCAAAGACTTCTGAGTCTCTTCAAAATCTGCAAGAAAGAGAAACTCCAAGCCTACCATGCCCATGTTTGGAGTCTAAATGTACTACCCAGGCATGCAGGAATCTCCAAACAAAGCAATTTAAATAAAAGTTGATCACAAGTAGTGATCGCATTTAGGGAAGAAAACTCAAGGAAGCCAATCCAAAATGACTCAAGAGGGACACTTCTGAATTCCAGCCTTCCCTCACACCATTCCCAAAGGGAAAACAAAACAAAACAAACCTGTGTTGTCAATCAAAAATCACAAAA